ATTCCTGCCCATTTGGAACAGGCTATGCCAATGTGGATATGGGTTGAGAGTGGGAAGAGAGACGTAAAGGAGGACACTGAAGCAAGAGTGGAGAACTCATGGAAAAATGTGTCTACACAGAATTGTCAAGAGACAGAGGGCTCCTGTCAGATGCTGCAAGACCTATGTGAAATTTAGATTTGAAAATCTGGAGAAAGGAGTTTAAGATGAGCCTGAGTAGGTCAGCAAGTAGCGTGGTAGTTAGAGTACTGGACTCCTATATGGCCAGCCACAGTTCAAGTCCTGGACCTGGCAGCCTGCTTTTTCACATTCCTTCTCTCTCTCTGTCTCTCTCTGGTCAAATGAAAATAATAGTAGTAATCAAAATAAATAAAAATTAAATTGGGGGGACCAGCAGTTAGCATAATGGCTATGTCTCTGGACTCCCATGTAGTCAACTGCGGTTCGAGTCCCGGACCCAGTGGCTTAAAACTCACGTCAGGCGTGTTTGCTTGCATGCCCAATATCCCGAGAGGAGAATGGAGGAGAAGGGATTGCGGTGTGGCCATCCCCCCTGAGGGGTGATTTCTCACTTTCTGTCTCTCTGTCTCTCTGTCTGTCTGGCGAGCACATATGCCCTATAGCAAAAACCTCTCCAAAAAAAAGAAAGAAAAATTAAATTGGGACCAGCAGGTAGCATAGTGGTTAAGGTGCTGGATTCCCACATGGCCAACCACAGTTCAAGTCCTAGACCTGACAGCTTGAAATTCATGCCAGGTATGTGTGTGCATGAGTGCCCAAAATCCCAAGAGGAGAATGGAGGATAAGGGACTGTGGCATGACCATCCCCTGGGGGGTAATTTTTTTTGCTTTCTGTATCTCTTGTTTCTCTGGCAAACACACACACCCTATAGCAAAATTCCCTTAAAAAAAAAAAAAAAAAAAAAAAAAAAAGATGGGCATGAGGAAAGGAGGGAAAACCAAGAATAAAAAAGGTCCTTGGAGGCTGACACTGGGGAAGACAGAAGTGTAAGCTCAAACCTTACTGGCTTATTGGTTATCTCCCGACAGGTCAGAGTGACCTGGAAGCACACAACAAAATTAATTAATTGACTAGGAAAGGGAAAATAATACTACATGGGCATTCGTAATGTGCCAAGAACTCACTGTGTCAGAAATTTGCTCCAAGCTTGTGAACAGCAGAGCCAGAAATTAAACTTAGCTCTGATAGCCTCTGAGGTCCAGAGTTTTCATACCTCATGACCTTCAAAGAGCATCACTGAGTGTAATTGTAGTAAAACCAGGAGAACTAACAGACATTGGCCCAAATCATGGACACCTGTAACATGAAGGGACTCCATGGCTGGGCCCACCAACATCACATGACCACAGCCTGGTGGTGCTCATAAGCAATCATAGAGCAGTTCTCAAGAATCTTCTGGAAAAGGATCCCAAAAATGCCGACAGTTGAGTTAATCAAATTGAATTACCATTCACTTTACCTTCTGGTCTTCCCTCCACTTCTTTGTGGCAAATTGTTTTCTGCTGTGGCAAAACAAATATAGAAGGAAAGGAAAGACTTTAATTTTAAGAGAGACAAAATAATTTTTTAGGTATGTTTCTTCTTTTATATTGTTCTTTTTAAAAAATATATATTTTATTTTATTTATTATTACTATTTTCAATTCACCAGAGAGAGACAAAGAAGGAAAGTGAGAAAGCAAGTCACCAGGTTTGGTACTCAAACCATGGTTGGCGATTTGGGAGTCTAGTACCTCAACCACCATGCCACCTGCTGGCACCTACATTGTTCTTAAAATGTGTGCTATAGCCTTTTGGAATCCAGAGACTCTGATCTAAAGAGAAGTGAAATTAACAGTAAAGAGAAAGCAACCCAAGCTTCCAGGCATTTCCACACAGAGAAAGACCCTAAAGGTTTAGCTGTTAAACATGCTAGAGGCCATGAACTGGATGGCAAACCCAGTATGTTCTAGCTTTATAAGTATTATTTTATTACATTTCCATGAACTTAACACCATTGGTTGTAGTGTGTGAGACACCAGGATGATTGCATGAGTCTGGCAAGGAATACTTATCCATCATCTGCCAAGTTTACCGTAAAATAAAGACATTGTGTCTACCATCACAAGAGAATGTGGGTATCAAGTCAGATAGAAATCAAGTCATGTTAGTAGCAGAGCACTCCTCCCAGAGGTTAGGAGTCAATACTTTCTCTCAGAGACCCAGAGTAAACAACCAACCAAGGAGGCCAAGCTCTGAACCCTGCATTGGAAGGGGGCTCAGATAAAATACCTCTTCCAGCTCTAAGCTTTGGCCCTGGCTATTTTTAATTGATGTTCCTCTTGTTTCCTGGTCCCTACATCAAATGTTAAAGCCTGTGGCTTAACAAGTGCCTTGCAAACAGGACAATGCTCTCCCTTGGTTTATAATTACTTCCCCCACTTACAGACTTCTACGTCAATGTTACTACGAAATATAGGGCCCTTGCTTTAGATCTTTCCTTCAGCCAGCCTTGTTGACTGCTAACCTTTACTGGGTCTTTGCATTATATTGATCATTATCTGGATTGATGGCTTTCAAAAGCATTTCATTATCTATACATGAGCTATTAGCTTCACCAATACTCATTTTCATGTTATTTTCAAGATAGATAATAGGTCTTCCTAACAAGAAAAAGTCTTCTATCATTTTTCTTCTTCCAGCAGCTCTTTCTGTCTCTAAAGATATTAATGTTGGTTTTCTGAAAAGCACCTGCAATACACCAGGGTTTTGCTTTCATTGTCCTAAAATACATCTCTCAAACAAATGCCAACATGACTAAAGGGATGTCAATGTCCAGATGATCGTATTTAAATTGCGTGCACTGGCTTCAAGAGAAGCTACACAAGTTTTCTGTTCTACTCTTTCAGTGCAGGGCAATGGGCACCATCTATCTAGAAATAAAGAAGGCACACCAATCCTAATGGTAAGATAAAATCTCATATCTAGAAAATAGCCATGTACCTGCGTCTGATGCCTTTTTGACAATTTTAGGATATTTTTGAAATTTTACAAAATAATAGCTCTCATATTCCATCAAAATAGTTTCCAGATCAATGTTGTCACAAACTTCAAAGCGTCGTAACCCCAGTTTAGTTTCTTGTTCCAAAGCATTGGCTGCATCGATATATCTGGCAGTTTCACAGAAAGAAAAAAAAATTAATTCCAGGTAAAAAGAATAAAGGCAAACAGGCATTTCAAGTTCAAAGAGACACAATACAAAGAGTACACTCATGGTAAACAGGACATTAGATGAAAACTAGTATGTATAGATGAGGTTTGCCCATGAATTAAAGAGCCCCATGTATACTAAATATGTTTGGATATATATATATATA